TTGTATGTGGTGCTGAGGATCGAACCCGGGCCACACGCCCTACCACTTGAGCCACATCCTCAGCCCTTTTTTTTGTTGTTGTTAATCAGTGAAGATAAAGATGAGAAAAAGTAACCTCGTGAAAAGAACAAGATTAACAATGGATTTAAGAGTAAACTGCAGCATGTGCTCTTTCAAAATGCAAATTACCCCATGTTATAAAGACCATAAAGCTCAGGTACTGGAGAGGTTTGGAGTTACAGGGTATCTAATCTAAATGGCTCTTTCCATCCCAATCATCCAAGTTACTCAGCTCTCTGGAACACAGTGGAACCCTAAGAGTAGGAACCAGGATGCTGAAAGAAGAAGGTAAAAACTTTAAGTAAGAATCAATGGAATGAGAACCAGACATGCTGGGAATGATGGAAGGACAGGGAATGCCTTCCAATATAGATTGTCTCTGCAGCAAGACAAAAATCCATTTATAAGCATTTCACTAGAACTTTAGCAAAGGAAAACCTAAAATGCTTCTAGTAAGAAGGCTTTTCTTCTATCACTTGGATTTTCAGGACTTAATTTAAAAGATTAAAGAAGGAATGCTACATTTGCATTCCCAATCCATCCATATCACTCCCAACAAATTTCATTAATCTTTGAAGTTCTTACTTAAACTCCCTAAAAGTATTTCAAGTTTACTAAAAAGTAAAGGCACCAATGTCATATAAGTTGTGAGATTTATTAACTTCAATTTCTCAATTCTTATATTCAAGTGGTCATTTTACAAGCTCCACAAGGCATATTAGATGGAAGACTGAGGAAGAAGGGGTAGTAGTGTGGTTAAGTGTCCAAATATGGCAGTACTTCAGCAAAAATGAAATTGCAAAGCAGAGGTTACCAGGGCCCTCCTAAAGGTCAGTGGAAACCCAGCCAGCTCCTTATCTATTTGGATACTATGCGCAATTTGATACTATTCTTTCCCAACATCAATCTCTCTAATCAAGTCCTCTTTTCACCTGAATTTAAAGATTTTCAAGTGATAATCCAAAGTAATAGAAATTAAAGGGACTAAATGGGCAGATGCTTTGTTGGGTGTTAGGAGATGGGAATATGTGTCAGTTCTTCTACTCTATTTTCCAGACTTCTTATATGGATTATTTTGATAAGATTAAAATGAAGGGCAAAAAGCTAATTTCTTTCCCAGTTACTAAAACAAAGATCCCTTCCTCCCCCAAACAAAGAAATAAGCTAAATTAGTTCGAAATTTCTGACTGAGCAAGTTGGAATAATAACAGGTAACATTACCCACTGACACTAAGCAGCAGTCACTCTACTAGGCCCATTACGTACAGCACTGATATGAGTTCTATCCCCATTTCACAGATGTGGAAACAGTAACTTAGAGAATTAGAGTAATTTGCCCAAGGTCATACAGTTATTTAGTATTGGGGCTAGGGGTAGGAGGTCTAATTTGAGAGCCTGTATTCTCATCTAGTATAGTTATGATGACAATATGCAAAATTTTTATTAAACTACATATACTTTTTCTAAAATAAACATACATTCACAAATAAAAGAATCCAGAAAACATAAAACAGTTGGTTAAATAAGACAAGTTAAATGTCTACCAGCTGGAAGTAGACCCCTAAATGTCTACACCATAATCACTACTGAGTTAGCTTCACAGTAAACAACTAAATTATTCAGTGTTCTGATGTAGTTGTAAAATTCTTTTTAGTTGAATCTCTCAAAATGCTACTATACATTCTTCAAATGAAATAGGCTGCCCTCTTAGGAATTGTGAAAATACATTAATTCTTGATGTATTCACTGTCCTAGTTCTGTTCAGTTTCCTCCCTTCCTCCCCAACTTCCGCTCTGCCTTCATATCCTTTAAGACCAGTTAAGTTCCTCTTTCTTAAGAATATCTATCTATATGCATGCTTTACCCAAGAGAACGCAAACATTAGTGTCTGTGCTCAATAACTGTAGGGTGATACAAACTTAAAAAAATGAACTCAAGCAGAAAAAGAGCATTTCTAATGCATCTTCTGCTTTAGATCTATGCAACTACAGAACTAATTCTAAACATTCTTATTTTTCTGCTTTATACTTGGAATCCTGTCTTTCACAATTTCTTGTCCTGTTTTTCAAAATATTTTTTCCACAAACTTTCCCATAAATGAGAAATTTTAAAAACAGGCCAGGTGTGGTGGCATACTCCTATAATCCCAGTAGCTTGGGAGGCTGAAGCAGGAGAATTGCAAATTCAAAGCCAGCTTCAGCAATTTAGCGAGGCCCTAAATGACTCAGAGAGACCCTGTCTCAAAATAAAATTAAAAATAAGGCTGAGAGCCTCCCAGCTGGATTCTGTCCCCACCCTGCCCCAAATATCAGGCACTAGGATCTTTCATTATTGCTGTTGTTCTTGTTGTTATTATAAAATTTCATCTAGATATAAGCTTTGCTAAATAAATAAACTGCTGATATTTTTCCTAAAAAAAAATAAATAAATAAGGCTGAGAATGTGGCTCAGTGGTTAAGTACCTTGGGTTCAATCATCAATACCAAAAACTAAAAAGTGAAACAAGGAAATGTACTGTTAAATGGTAGTATATCACATTTTAGTAATGTAAATAACTTATTCTAAATCATTTCTAAAATTTAAATGTTTTATAAGTACAGTGTATAAAAAAATTTTGGTTATTTATCAATACCTAGTATGTACTTTCATTCATTAAATAAATAATTATTTAATGCCCATATAACTTTTTTTTCCCTGAACCAAGATGAGTGGACACAGGTGCTGAAGGATCCTGGCTTGAAATCTAGCTCTTGTACTTAGAAGCTCAGAGATGTAGTCAGTTAAACTCCAGGTTAACATTTCATTTATTTATTTGATGGGAGGACAATAATTACTTCTAGGGTCTTGATGAGTTTAAATAATTATGTAAAAAATAGCACAGGCCTAAAATTAGTAAGTACTTTAAAAATGACAACCACAATAGACACCTTATAATACTTAAGAAAGTATAGTTGAAAGAGATGGCTGATAAATGTTCTCTCTTATTAAAAAGATAGAAAATTGTGAAACACTATATTAAAGATATATTAAAACTAAAAATCCAAGGGATGTGGAGGCCTACACATGTAATCCAGCCACTCAGGAGGCAAGAGGACTGCAAATTCAAGGCCAGTCTCAGCAACTTGGTGAGAACCTGTCTGGACCTCCGGAGGGCCTAGGGATGTAGCTCAGCGGCAGAATGCCCCTGGTTTTGATCCCCAGTTATCTTTCTCCAAACGTGTATTCGTATACACACAGAGAATGCTAAAAATCCTAAGGTTATGTAAGAAATTTTCCACTTTTTAAAGAGAGATATACTAACTACATAGGTTAAAAGATAAAAATAGGAAAACATGAAAAAGATGGATAAAGAAAACCCTGAAAGCTGTCAAGCATGGGTAATTAGTGTATTCTATTTTTGTGAAAATACAAAAATTTTAAGCCATAAATCCCCAGAATGAGCCTAACATATTTCCTCATATTCGGGAGAAATCAGGATTTGAACCTTGAGATGTGTTGAACTAACAATGGTACTCAATAATTTAATACTGGTCAAGTTTTCTCAAACCAGTCTACTTTTCAATATAAAAGTGAACACAGGGAATACTTACTGAATGTATTAAAGGGTAAAAAATGCAAGCTTTTCAGCTGCTTGTTAGTACTACAGCAGCAATACACATCCCCTAACCCCAGTGTTCTTCAAAAAATACTTCCACTTTAAAAATTTAAGGCAATCACAGACACGGCCTCCAAACCTAAAGGTGAGCACATCAGAGTTGCCACTAACTTCAAATTGTGAAGAACTCCATTATTAATTCGTATAAAGATTTTGTGTGATGTTTCTCGGTTGCCTCTAGGTCTTATTTTTCACTTTTTTTTTTTTTAGATGTATCGCTGCATAACAATAGAGTACTACCCGCACGCACGGAGAGAGTGGCCATTAATTTCTTTGAGAGGCTTAAGAAGCTTAACGTACAGTCCTGGTACCTAAATTAAGCTGACTAACAACACAAAATTTCAAGTCACACCTTGCCTATCTCTGCGCAAGCAAGTCAACACTAGTAAAACAGACCAGGAGCACGGAGTAAAGCCCTAATCTCTGTGCTAACCTTAATTCCTATCGTCAAGAGGTCGGCTCTGTCAAAAATATTCTTAACTCACTATGAATCTGCGTTTCAAGTGAAGCCTACTAGCTCTCGGCAATAGTTCAGCAACAAAGCACAAGATCCATAAATCCAATAGAGCCTATGTCTGCAGAACGAAAGCCCTCTGCAGTTTCAGTCTCGGTTTACCCATTCATTATGCACAGGCAGGCGTCGTTCTCGTTTTTATGAGCAATAAACTTTATTCTGGCTTCAGAGATCACACCTCTCCGCGCCCCGGGCAGACCCTGGAACTCAGCAACGCCCAAGTCAGATTTTCACCTTCCCCAACTTTGATCCCGGCGAGAGCTGACGCCCAGCATCCTCCTGTCGTCCTCCCGTGACTCGGGCCACTTTGACGCACCGGGATGCGGCTCACCTGACACTCTGCACCAACCACTACCAAAGGGGAAAACCCACTCCGCCAAAATAAAATGGGTCCCCGAGGAAGCGTGCGGGTGTCCCTAAGCCGGTCTTCTGCCACGCCGCCCAGGCCCCTAGCGGCCTCCGCCACCTGCCCGACGAGGCCGCGCGCGGCTGGGGCCCGGCGCGCCGCAGGGAGCAGGCTGCGGGTCCCGGCCGGCCCGGCGTCCGCCCGGCGGCGCGGGGGCAGGAACCCGGGGCCGAAGGTTTCCGCCCGGCGCGGCCAACCCGGCAGGGGCCTAGCGCGGGGGCCGCCCGGGCTCCCGACCCCCGCCCCGGCCATCCGGGACGCGCGCCGCCACAGCCCGGCCCGCCAAGCTACGGGCGGCGGCGGTGGCGAAGGCGCCCGCACCTGCCCCGCGCCCTGCGGCAGCCCGGGTGAGCGGCTTCACCCACCTGGCGTCCCCGCCGCGTCTGCACGTCAGGCGCGACCCCGCGCTCCTCAGCACTCCCGGCGCGGGTGCGGGCGGGCGCCGGGAGACCCTGCTCGGCCGCCGCCCGGTGGGTCGTAAGGCCGCCGCCCGCGAACCTGTTGCGCAGCCTGTCAGGGACGCTCGGCTCCGCCGGCGCCGCCTCAGCCCCACAACAACATGGCGGCCGCGGCCTCCGCAGGAAGCCGGGGGGCGGGGAGGCGGGCGCCGGGCCGGGCAGCCGATGGCCCGCCCGCCGGGCACTGCCGGGCACCGGCTCCCCACCCTCGGGAGCCCCACGCGGCCGGCGCGGCTCCTCACCCCCGGAGCCCCGAGGCGCCGGACCCCGCGGGCCTTGCCCGAAGTCTTCTCTGTCCTCCGAGAGGCTACGAAGCCCCGGACCTGGCAGCCCTTCCTGGAGCTGGGACGACCCACCTGGCTCCTCCTCCCCGAGGTGACATGCTGAGGTTGGGTGGTGCGTTTCCTGCCACAGTGGACCCCAGGGTTTCGGAAAGGGCCAGGCGGTGCCCAGCTCGTCCCTTTCTCTCTACGTGGGACGCTCCTTGGAGCCTTCGCACGCACGGAAGGTCTCGCCACGGATCCGGGGACACCGATGCCCTGGGAATTGGGGCACGGGCGTTGGCAAGAGGTTGCTCCCACCCTTGGTCACGGGACCGTTCCGGGCCTCTGGAACCCGTCCCAGGCACCGCTGCAGGACTTCACCGTATCCAAGCATCACCCATTCCCCTTCCCTCACCCTCTTTCCTAACTCACAGAAAGGGCCGACGAGGAGAACCCTGTACCCCACTCACTCTAGCAACTCCCCGTGTACTCTGACCCAGCTGGCTCCAGAAGACTGTCTCCCCCAGACCCTTCTGCCCGCAGGAGCTAAGTAGCTTACCCATCCCACAGCCACCGGACGGTGACTCTCAAACTCGGAATTTTTACCCCCTCCCAGTTCCTGATCTCCTCACAAAAGACCAGACTTGATCCACCTACCTGCGCCCAGGGCTTGCCCTTGACACAGCTTGCTTTCCAGAGAAAGGCTTTCTTTGTGATTGAGGTGAGGAAGGAGTCAGTAGTTCCTAATGAGCAAAATAGAGCTGTCTGTTGGTTTTTAGAGGCAGGGACAGGACCGATCTGAGGTACAAAACTCATATCCATATGACTTCCTTTGATGCAGGAGATCAAATGACTCTGGCTTTCTTACCATTTCTTACCTGTTGCGGCAGGTGAAGGTAGCCAGGCTGGCAGCAATGCCCAGGCCTATCTAAACTGGCCAGCCAGCTCTCGTGAGGAATTTAGCAAACATCAACAGTGATGAACAGGCTTTTCTCGCTCTCACACTCAGAGTTTTTCCTGACAGACAAGTCCTGAATGTCTATGATGTAGAAAGGTCTGACTCCTTGGTATTAGTCTAGGAGGTCCCTCACTTCCTGGTGACCAATCAATATGTTCTCCTTTGCAAGCAAACCACTCTTGGGCACATGGTCTCATTCCCATTTCAGACTTCAGCAATTAATTGTAGTGGTTCTTTTTGGAGCTCATAGTCAAGGGTCTAAGCCTCTGAGTCTTTCCCAACCACTTGGTAACATCAAACCTATTTTTTATTCTTGATAGGCAGATAGCCAGTCTCCATTTCCCTCCCATCATTGATCAATGTCATTTGTGTTTCAAGGTTCTGGACCTGGTATAATTCACCCCGAGTCCTCATTCTCTCTGAACAAGGTGCCAAATCCTTGGCTGGACAAAAGTGGAATTTGTAGGAAGAGATGTTTACTAAGAAAAAAAAAAAAAACATTGAATCGCCTCTCTAAGATAAACTAAAAAGATAATAACCTCTGATAGGAACTGGCATACTGTACATAGGCCAAGCACTAAACTATATCCCAGGGTTTCCTTCAGAACTTTGAGGCCACTCTGTCCATCCCATTCTACTCTGTCACAGCCCCAAATACAGGATTCATTCAATCATCTATCCCCACAAGTATATAGAATTTGGACAATATTAAGCATTTGGCTGTTAGATATAAGTAATGAGGGAAGAAAAGGAGTAAAGGATTCTTAGCTTTCTAGGTAGGCCTAGGTAATGATAATTCTCTTCAACAAGAATGGAATATAGGAGGGGAGCACAGACCTTAGAAATGACCAAAGAAACATGCTTGCTTTTCTTGCAACTTCTAGATCATTTTCCACTCACATGCAAAAGTCCTTCTTTAATTTTTTTAACACCAGCTATCTTTATCCCTGAACCAACCTAACAATCCCTATATTTTACCAACTTCCAGGGCATTCAGTTTATCAAGAATTTCAGCACCTGGAGTAGTAGTCCTCTCCATTTAGAACCCTCATCATTCTTAGTGTCTTTAGGTATTCATGATTCACATAGGTGACATACCCACTGTCCTAGTTCACTGACTTGCTCTTCTCATCAGGCAGGCCTTGAAATGCGAACTGTAAATTTCCTCCTTAGTATTTTCCAAATGCCACCACCTCTTCCTCTTGTTCACCCCCTACTACCAGCTGATGATACAAATTTCTGATTTTCATTAAATTTTAAAAATTTTCAAGTATTTTTAAGTTGTTTTTAATATAGTTGTACATGGACAGCATGCCTTTATTTTATTTTATTTTTTTAAATGTTTATTTTTTAGCTTTAGGTGGACACAATATCTTTATTTTACATTTATGTGGTGCTGAGGGTTGAACCCAGTGCCTTGTGCATGCTAGGCGAGCATTCTACCACTGAGCCACAACCCCAGCCCATATTTTGTTTTTGTTTTGTTTTATTTTGTTTTTATGTGGTGCCAAGGATCAAACCCAGTGCCTCACACATGCTAGGCAAGCACTCTGCCCCTGAGCTCCAGCCCCAGCCCCTCAATCATTATTTCTTCAAATACATTTTTCTTCCCCTTCTTTCCCTTATCTTCTCTTGGCTTTCCAACTGCATGTGTATTTAACTGTTCAATATCATTTGAGGTTCATATTACATGTGTCCCAATAGTCTAGCCATGTTCCACCATGGAGGGTCAGAAACACCCCCCCTGATTGATGAAAATATGCCCCTTTTAAAGCTGTGCTGCTTTTACCTCTCTTTGGTAGGAATTAGTCCATCTATGTTCAGTCTCTGTGCTTTCTATCTAGGGTAACTGTTTAAATCTGTTAAAAAAAAAAACAACAAAGTCACAATCTCTCCATCCCACTCCTAAACACACATACACATGCTTATATACTGTCACATCGATTCTATCCCTTTGAGAAATAGGTGAAAAGTGAAGTTTGTTCCTTTTTCGATTTCTTTTTCCTCTCAAAACCCAGACAAAAGAACAGATGTGCTGACAATAATCTTTTGTGGATAAAAAACTCAAGTCAATCTGGGAAACCAGGCTGTGGCTGCCACATTATTTGATCATAAGAGCAGATGAAAAGCATGCCAGAGTAAGGGGATCAGGATGGAGGAAAAGAGCTAGGCCTTCATTTAACAGTTGTCAATTCACTAATTGGATATTTGTTTTAATTAATTAAATAGTTATTAAAAAACCTCCCATGTTATTAATTCACAGGAATGGTCAATGGTACAAACTTGGTTCTTGGCTCTTTTCTCAGTTTGTTGAACTCACAGACCCTATTCTGGACCCTATGCTGGAAGAGAAGCAGAAAAATGAAGATAGGAGTGATTTAGGGGAAAGAGAAGGGAAGGGAATGACCCTGGCATGGAAAGGAGTACTCTCATCTTCGGGCCACTTGTGTGGTGCATAACTTGAGACTCTGGCCTGATGCCTATGGTACCGGAAAGGCAGTGCCAGGGAAGCTGAAGGGGAAGTTAGCCCAGACTTGGCCCTAGGCCAGCACTGCAGGGTGGAGCCAAAGGCCAGACTGGGTGAAGCCTGGAGGCCCTGGACAGGATGTGCTCATTCATGAGTAAAGCAGCAGGGGCTTCCAGTGTGGCAGGTGTAGCTCAGAGAAAGGGAATCCAGTCTGATTCAAGAGTCAGACATGCTTCCTGTCTGGCATATATGCCCAGCTGTCTGTTTATTCCATTGCTGCTGTCTGCAGACAAACCTGGAGTGATACCAGTTCCCTCCTTTTAATAATCAAACTAATGATAAGGTAGCATTGTGCACTGAGTACCTTTGTGTGTGTGGTACTGAGAACGGAATCCAGGGCCTGTGGGTGCCAAGCACATGCAGTGCCACTGAGCTACACTTTCAATCCCCTACTATTTTTTTTTAAATTTCATTTTGTCCTCACAATAATCCTGCTAACTAGAGAGTTCTGTTTGTGATCACCTAATCTTGGTTGATATTGAAGAAGGAGAGGTAAAATCAGTCTCAGCCTTTTGTTTTGGGGAATTTTCCCATACTCAGCTTTTTTCCCTTTACACAGAGAAACTCAGGACAGGCTTTTCTAAATTCAGTTAGCAACAATGTTTTATTTTAAAAGACACAGTGGACCAGATTGTTTTGTTCTGCTTGGAACCAGTCTGGCCAGACAAACATTTTTATTTCTAGTATTGCTTGCTATTCTGTGTAAGACAATGTCTTGAGCTAATGAAATTTAAGAAAGATAACTGTTCTTTCCCTTGGCCCTTGAGAGTGAGAGATGGTGTACTTGCCCTTGCTCTGGTGCCAGAGGGTAGAACACTATAGCAGTGTAAGCCACAGATGAATGTGAGCCTACATTTTGTTTTGGTCTTTGCAGTGCTGGAATGTGGAACCCAGGTCCTCACACAATCTAGACAAGGACTCTACCCTCAGCCCCTATGAGCACATTTTAATTGTTTAAATTATATGCTTGAAACTTGACCTGTCCTGACTTCCCTTAAGAAAACAAGATGAACTTCTAAAAATTCGAGCTATGAAATTACAGTCCAGAGAGGAGTCTGAAACCTTGAGCTGGTCAACATCCTCATCTGCCCTAGGTAGGAGTGGCCAGATCAGGAGAATTTCCTGCATAAGGTTCAGGTAGAGATCAGGATTGGATGCTTGGTGCTATTTGCCATTTCTAATATTTCCTTTCTTGTTGCATGTATACAATGAATATGCTCCCCCTCCCTTTTCTAGTACCTCTAGGTTAGGAATGCTTAATTCAGTAGAACCATATACGTCAGGGCTTTTAGCCCCCCTCCCTTCCCTCCTGACCTGCAGGAGGGATTGGGGGACCACGCCCAACCAGGAGGAACCAAGAAAGGTAAAGGT